ATGGATGGATGGATGGATGGATGGATGGATGGATGGATGGATGGATGGATGGATGGATGGATGGATGGATGGATGGATGGATGGAGTTACAACTAGGGAGCTTCTCATTTACTTTGAACTGTTAAGGGTGTTTTAAGGGCGACTGGATAAAACTGAGATCAGGACTAAAATCTCTGGAAATAGTCTTTTTTAAAAGTCCTCAGAAGATGATTTTATCTATATTTGAAATGTTAACTTTTTTTTCTTTTCTCCAACAATTTAAGACAATTAAAACTGCACAGGAAAAGAAAACACAAGCGAATGATAAAATTGGAAATGGTTGTAACAGGGTCCAAAAGGGAAAAAGAAAAAGGATAAAAACGGCATGTCTATCATTTGAATGTAAAACAACCCTGCTGCACACACATAACATATGTTGCTAAAACCAGTTTTACTTTTCAACAAGACTAATGTGAGGATAATTGATATTGCGTATGTATGCAAAAGAAAGTGTTAAGAATAATTATTCACAAACATTCTGATTTTAGATTAATGTAGAGAAAACAGTGGAAGGAGAACGGACTAAAATTGTTCTGAAAACAACTAACCTGAATAAACAACGTTAGATGTAATTTTGGGTCATTTGGAGTAAAATCAACAAGATAGAAAACGTACCTGCCAGAGTCCAAAGAAGCAAGAGCTGATATTTCATGGTGATCTACCTCTCTGCTGCTTTTCTAAAGATGGAAGGAGACGCAGAGGCATCAGAAAGCTTATCACACACAACCGGAAGGCTGCCATTTTCTCATTCTGGTCAACCATTTTATTCTACCCAACATAACAACTAACATGAGATGAAAAGCAACTTTTTAGCTTCTGCCATCAAATTAATACTATATCTGAGTCTCAATTCAAATATGTAATCAGATTTTTTTTTTTATTGGAAGTTAAAGATAAAACATTAGAAGTCATTAATAAACATGGTTTTAGATTTTTATCAAAATAAACAGATTACATGAGGTAAATATGAAATATTGTGTAAATACGACACTGTTTCGAATAAAATTACTAACCTTAAACCAAAGAAGTGTTTGGTCTCGGCTGCTCAACGACTTAGTTTCTGCCTGCTGTCGGTGCGTCTCCGTCTGTCTCTTTGTGAGGGAGAAGGAAGTTACTGTGATTGGTTTGTTGGTCTCATCAGGCTTTGCTGATTTTATCTGAAACTCTCCATCATGTCAACATACTTCAAAATTATTGGCTTCAAAATTTAGCACAATACACACTAGAATCATGTTTCTGGCAATTAATATTGGCTTGGTTTAACAGGTTGTTTTTTGTTGATCAGGATAAAACTGCAATGTTAAATCCAATTTATATAAACAAATATTAAAAGAAATATAAATTTATTAACAGACATGAGACAGGATTTTATCAGCATGAGGTCAAATATAGTTTACTCCTATAATTGTTATTCTTTACCACTTGCCATAATTTATTTGCTTCTTAAAGGTCTGAGATATAAGAAAAACAACATCAACTTACTTAGTGCAACCCAATAATAATATATTTTTTAAGCAACTGCTTAGGGGAATGTGAACTGAAAATGCACATCTCCAATTACCGTAGGTAAAACATATTGGGAATGTTTTCCCATCATATGTGTGAAAGACTGCATTCCCTGTTGAACTGCAGCAGAAACAAAATGAGAGCAGATGCAAGCTCCCACAAAATAACTCTGCTTCCTGTTTGCAGAAAAGCCACAGCAACCTGTGACCCAGAGCCAACACCTGGCATGCACACACACACACATATATCCATATCCATTCTCTCCTGCAGCTGTTAGAAAAACAAAGCAGGTCGTTTAATTTCTTTCTCACCAGATGCACCCTTTTTTTTTTACCCAACCATCAATTTCTGCCAATACAGTTAAAAAGATGCACATCACCCTCATGGTGCACAACCTAGTGAAACCATTCTTTAAACCACTTTGGAGCGCCCCCTGGTGTTTGCAGAGTAAAATCACAGTATGCTCAGAATTGAATTCACTCAGATACCATCTCAATAATACCTTTATTAGACTCTTTTATACATGTATGCATACAAATGTACAGGACAGGACATGTGGCATGTTAAGAAACGGTTCTATACTCTGTAGTAACGCATTCAGGTTACATTTGACCAAATAAACATTCAGGTTTTAGTAAAGAACCCTAAAACACATTCCATTAATGCAACCAAAGAGACAACATGATGAGCAATATGAGAAAATTTGCTTTGATGAGACGAGAAATCAGCAGCACAAACACCTGAGTACCTGCTTTACTGTACGACAAACATTCATGGGTATGTTTTGTGCATTCGTAGAGGGACGGTTTTTAAAAACAAGGATGTCCTCTAAACTTTGTTTCCAGCTTGAAGGTAACTGGTCAGTGGTTGCCTTGCAGAGTGGGGGTTCCTCTCAGACAGCTGCATTGTAAGATGCAGGTATACATGCACAAACAGTAGGGAGAGTTGCTGGATGATCTGTCAGAGCCAGATTTCCTCACTGCTGGTGCTGTTCACCTTATAGATGTAGCCAACCATTGGATACCTGGCAAAACCTGGGAGGACCACAATAAAACACATAAATAGACCTAAACTATAGGGATAAATAATTGAATAAGCAGCCCAGATTTAGTGTTTTTCTTTGACCTCTTGCTGCGTAGGCTAAAGACAGATCTTCCTCCTCCTCTTCCTCTTTCTTCTCCTCTCCCACGCTGTTCTGCTGAGCAACTTCTCGAGCTGAAAGGCAGGAAAGAGGAAGCAAAGTGAAACACAAACCTGAAAATCAGTTGTAGGATTTAAAAGAAAATTGAAAAAACATGATTTCCTGAGTAGTTTGCTGAGTAGTTTAATCTGATCAACAACTATAAACTGGAAATGGTTTGGTTCTTTTTCACTCACTCCTTCATGTCCAGCCTTCATCATCTGTAAATTAATAAATTTATTCTGATTATCTTATATTTATGGGTGTTTAAAAATGTAGAGATTCTGCAAAAAAAAAATATCAAAATCAAGTTTACATTCATGAAACATTTTTAACCTTTATTTTTTGGTATCATGCTTTCCTAATTTTTGATTTATTCCAACTTGAAGCTTAAATAATTTCTTCCCTTTTTGAGTAAATGCTACACTGTAGGTTTGTTTGGCCACTAGGGGGCGAGTGATCCCTTATAACTGCAGTGAAAAAATTTTTTCCACTGTCTTGTTTTCATAGGATGTTTATATTTTCTCTGTGTTTACTGCATTTTTAGGCTTGGAGAGTTTTGTTTTTCTTTCTCCCAGTTATTATCAGTCACACACAGCACCTCCTGATCTGAACACAAAGTACTACCTCATCAACAAATGATTGTTTTTCTGGTAAAAATCTGAAAAGTGTGTAGTAAACCTGAATTTACAGTTTCCACCATGTTCTAAATTCTACATTATTTTATTGATTTTTGCAAATTAAATTAAACTCAGTTAGACCTGATAGAAAACATTCATCAACGTAATTTTTCTTTCTTTTCATGGGTCTGTAATTTAGTTAGGCCATTCTGAGAATTGGTGTTTAACCCAGATGGACAAGTATTTAGCTGCTTCCAATTTATCATAAACTCTAATCAGTAGGCCAAAAGCATAATGCTGCCACCCCCATGTTTTACAGTAAAGCAGGCATTTTAAAGACATTCTGCTAATTTGCATGTTTAGACTTTTGTTTGATATACTTACCATATATTTTATATATTTCTTAAGACAAACTGCAAAAAGGGATGATCTTAGCTTTCCCTCAGCAATAGATCTACTCTTGTCAAATTTTTGTGGTTCATAATTGGTCAACAGGTTCCACAAACAGAGCTCTCGATCCTCCCGACAGAAATCATTCGGGGATATTGACATCATGACTGATAACTGATATATAAAATATAAATTCTATACATTTTTCTTCCCCTTTCGTCGCTGCAAGAAAAGAAAAAAACAACCACACCACTGCTTCAGTTAAACACCCACAACCTTGCTCTGCCTCACCACCACACACCCAGACAAATACCACAAGGGCTGATGGGTAACTGATGTTTCCTACCAACCTGTGAGGCCATCACAGAACAGCTGAATATGCTGAGGTAAACGCCACACACCTAGAATAACTGTTATGTGACTTCTGAAGGTAACTGGTTGCACTGGATTATTACAGGTATCGTGAGAAAAGCTTTCAGAGAGTGCAGATCTCCTCCAAACAGCATATTCGGACGTATTCCTATAGCTAAAACTCACATGATCTGGATTATAAACTCATTTTAAAGAATTGTTTCTCGGCATGAGGTGCACCTTTGTTTAAAATGTAATTAAAATCCATTCATAACTTTTTGAGTAATCCTGCTAACAAGCAAACAGGAAGAAAAACATAACTTCCTTGGTGGAGATAATAAGAGGATTTAATACAAATTCACATAAAACTTCTTGTATTAAAACAGTTTCAATCTGTATTCATTTACTTCCTCTAATAAATTGCCACCTTCTTTTGGTCTATCCCAGGGGTAACAAATAAAAAATCAGCGGGGTGCGAATAAAGCAAATCATCAATCAGTAAACGTCCGGAGACATTTTTAATTATAATCTGATACTTTAAACAGAATTTAACACCAAAATAAAATGAGGTTTTTATGCATTTATCCATGTTATACATTGGCTTTTTAAATGAAAAATATAAAAAAAAAAAAAAAAATGAAAATTTTTCCATTTTAAAATCTAAAGTGTTTTTTTTTTT